TGTGCGTGTGCGTGTGCGTGTGAAACGTTTGTAATTTCATTGTCAATAATTACTATTGAAAAAATTGTGAAATTTTTTTTTTATAAACAAAATTTTGCCGAATCACGTTACGCGAAAAAAAAAAAAAACAAAAAATTTAAATTTGATTAATATTTAATTAAATAACGAAAATTTATTTATTTATTTATTTATAATTAAAGTTAAATAAATATTAATAAAATGATTATTTATTAAATTTTTTTCACATACGACGAAATGTTTAAAAAAAATAAATAAATAAATAAATTATTAATTAAAAATGGGGGGAAATTCATCGGATTTATTTATAATTAAAAACGCTTTTCCGTACCTTTTTAAAAATTATCAATTTTTTTTGCGTACCTTTTTTTTTAATGTATTAGTGATAAGAAAATAAATAATGTTATCATACCTGCGGCAAAAAGTAATTGTAATATAACATTTAATATTCCTTTTGCAGTGCATTTCATTTTGTTTATTCATGTGATTATTATTATTAATATTATCACAAAAAATCCCCCACGAAAAACAAAAACAACAACAACAACAGCAATTATTTACTTCTTCTCATCATTTTTTAAAATAATTCCAAATAGTCACCACCTAATCACTTAATAATAATAATAATAATAATAAACAACACTAATTATTTATATTATTTAATTTCAGGTATCGATTATCACGAATAATACGAAATCGGAAAGAAAAAAAAAATGATGATGATGATCGTCGTTAAAAATTCGGCGAGTACGTAAAATCGAATGGCATGATGGTTGAGGTACGAGTTTTTTTTGTTGTTTTGAAACTTATGGCGTGTACCTGTACGTCGCCCCTCTTCAAATGTTTCTTCTTACTCCAGTTCTTAACCGTGACCTAGACGGTAAGTGAAAATTATCATTTCGAAAAAAAAAATACTTATCGATAACGAAAAAAATAGGGGAGCCTTTTTTCTGATAACTAACATACCTGAAAAAAATTTCATATACAAAAATATCGAATAATAATAATAATACCGCTGGGGAGGGGAGGGGGGTGTATTTTGCGATTAGAAATTTCGTGCAAAAAAATTTCCGTTACGTTAGTAATAATGATAATAAAAACACGTTTGATTTTTTTTTTGTAATTTGTCTGAATGACTGACTGATGTTTTCCTGTATCGAGAAAAAAACGAACAAACAAACAAACAAACAACAAACAAATATCCAGTTTATTTTGGTTTTTAAAAATTTGCGTAAGACATAAACAACTTTCCCTGAATTTTTTTTTTTTTTTTATACATGAGTGCCATAACTAATAATTTACTTCGGTTTCACTTTTTTTTTTTTTTTTTTTTGAAAATTATAGCAAACGATATTTATTTTTTTGTAAGTTATAACTGATTCTGATTAAAAAAGATAGCATTTTATGAATTAAACGTTTTTTGTTTTTACAAAAAAGGAAAGTAATGTGATGATGATGATGATGTTCACGTCTATAACATTGACCCTTTTGTCAAAACTTTTCTTCTTTTTTTTTATTACTTTCCATATAAAATAATAATAATAATAATGAAATAAATTTAATTAACGTTTTTTTTTTTTTTTGAACTTAA